CTTCCCTGGGGTTCCCTCTGGTCGCGCTGGGGGCGGCGGGGGCGGCGGCGGGCCCCCTGGAGGCGGTGCGCGCCGCGCTGCCCGTCGGCGGGCTGGCGGCCCTGGCCTCCTTCGAGGCGTGTCAGGGCGTGCGTGTGGCCGCCGACGACGCCGTGCTCCGCGCGCAGCCTCCGCCCTCGGAGGCGATGCGCGAGGAGGTCCAGCGCATGCTGGACCTGGTGCTCCCGCAGTAGGTCCTCGCGCTAGCGGGGGCGTCGCCCCTTCGGGGGGTCTAGGCCCCGCTCCGCCCTACCCTTCGGCGGTGGGGCTCGGCCTGGCGGCCGCCGCGCCCTTGGCGCTCGGTGGCCTCGGTGGCCTCGTGGGCGGCGGCGGGCCCCGCCCAAGGCGCGGGCGGCCGCGGCGCGCTCCCTCGGCGTCCTCGGCCTCGCGTTCGCGGTCGTGGACGGCCAGGGCCTCCTGCTGGCTGGCGCGTCGGCCGGAGGGCGTGCGGACCCGGGCGCCGCGCTCGGTCAGCCTGCACTTTTTTTAAAAAGGTCCCCAGAGGGAGGGTTCGCGTATGGGCGTCACGCCCGTTTCGGCACACCCTCACGCGCTTCGTGGCCCCACAGGGAGCTCCACCGAAAGCCCTGATGGCACGGTCCGCATGTGTTTCCCCCCACTTCGGTATGCCCCTCGCGCGCTTCGTGGCCCCATGGGAGCATCCGCCGAAAGCCGGACTCACTGTTGCGGTATTCACAACTGCATCTGGTTGGCTCTTTCGCCAGTTTGCTTGTTTGCCTGCTTGTTTGTTTGTTGTTGTAGTTGTAGTTGTTGTTGATGTTGTTGCTGACGCTGTTATTGGTATTGCTGTGGTTGCTGTTACTGTTGATGTTGTTGTGGTTGTGGTTGTTGTTGTTGTGGTTGTTGTTGCTGTTGTGGTTGTTGATGTTATGGTTGTTGTAGTGTTGTTGGTGTTGCTGTTGTTGTTGTTATTGGTGCTGGTCTTGTTGTTGTTATTGTTGTCGTTGTTGTTGGTGGCGTTGTTGTTGTCGTTGTTGTTGTTGTTGTTGTTGTTGTTGCTGCTGTTGCTGCTGTTGTTGTTGCTGCTGCTGCTGTTGTTGTCGTTGTTGGTGTTGCTGCTGCTGCTGTTGTAGTTGTTGTGGTTGTTGCTGTTGTTGTTGCTGCTGATGTTGTTGTTGTGGTTGTTGTTGTTGTTGTTGGTATTGGTGTGTTGGTTGTTGTTATTGTTGTATTGGTTGGTGTTGAAGATTATTACTTCTAAAGAATAATTATTGTTGGGGCCCCTGGTGCGCGACCCCCCCGCCGCGCCTAGGCCGCAGCCTCATTTTCATCATTTTCGTGAGGAAGTCTCAGGCAAAACGGGTTGGTCCGGATCCGGTTGTGTTGTTACGATCGGTTTTCCCTTGCAAAAAATAAGCTAAAGTGGACATTTCTTGTTCTAACATAACCAAACTTCAAGAATCCCTTGCAAAAAATAAGGTAAAGTGGACATTCGCGCGCGCAAGACGAAATCCTTCCAAAACCTTAGTTTTCGTAGCGATTTTAACATAAAAACATCAAACAACCAATGGTTTTTCAAAAAAAAAATCAAAATTTCATCCCGCGCGCTCTTGCGGATTCGTAGGAAACCCAACACTTTTTAAACATTTCTGTCAAACGGGCTTTTGCGAGCAACTTTTTCGAACTTCTGCAACAACGGTTGCGCACCTGCCAGGGCCATCATCCCTGTCAAATAATACCATGCGGGACACATTCGTTTTTTCTTCGCGCGCGCACGCCGTCGTCGTCGGCCGCGGGGCCTGAATAGTAGCCACGGTCGTCCGCATGCCACGAAGTGAAGTGTCCGAACGTCATAGGGCGGGAAGCTGGGTGTGGGTGGTGGCGAAGAGTCGTTTGGAAATTTGGTAGAGCTTGAACCGGCCCCCCCACAAAGTGGGGGTATTGCCCGCCTCCTATGAAAACCCTGGCACTGGTGAGAACGGTGTGTCCCCACGTGCTAGTAATTGTTGTTGTTGTTGTTGCTGTTGTTGTTGTCGTTGTCGTTGTCGTTGTCGTTCTTGCCGTTGTCGTGTTTTGTTGTTGTCATTGTTGTTGTTGCTGCTGAATGTTAATTACTAAGCAACTATTACTGTTGGACTCCCCCCTGGCGCTTTGGCGCTCTCGCGTCGGCGCCGGCTACATTTTCATTGAAAATGAGGCTCACACTCGAGCGGTTTGGGGTGGCGCCCAAATCGCCCCCCCACCAACAACAACGCTCCCGCTCGAGACTTCCTCCTTTTTTGCTCAGGGCCGCTGCTCTTGCTCGCCGCCGAAAGCCGCCGTCCTAGTCAAATCAGCGCTACCGCTCGAGACTTCCTCCCGTTTTACCTTGGAATGGCGCGCTACTCTTTCTCTCATCGGCGCCGCCCCCAGCAACAAAAACGCACCCGTTCGAGACTTCCTCCCTTTTTGACTCAAGGCGGTGCTCCTCCTCGCCGCCGAAAGCCGCCGTCCCGACAAAACCAGCGCTCCCGCCCGAGATTTCTTTATTTTTCATGCTGGACTGGCGCCCTACTCTACTCTCTTTTGAATTGGCGCCGCTCCCAGCAAGAACAACGCTCCCGCTCGAGGCTTCCTCCCTCTTTCCTCAGGACGGTGCTGCCCCTCGCCGCCGACAGCCCCCGTCCCGACAAAACCACGGCTCCCGCTCGAGACTTCCTCCCTTCTTACTCAAGGCGGTGTTCCTCCTCGCCGCCGACAACCGCCGTCCCAACAAAACCAGCGCGCCCGCTCAAAATGTCGTTTTGTTTTACGCTGGACTAGCGCCCTACTCTCTTCAGCATTGGCGCCGCTCCCAGCAACAACAGCGGCCCTGCTCGAGACTTCCTCCCTTTCTTTTCGGGGCCAGGTCTTTGCTTCGCCGCCGAGAGCCCCCATCCCCATCAAGGCAATCCTGTCGCTAGACACTTCCTTGTGTTTCACCCTTGGCTGGGGCTCCACTGGCGGTCTCGCATCGGCGCAGCAAGGCGCGGGCATGCGTTTTCGAGGCGGGATATTTCGAAGTTCCTCAGCGGAGGTGTTTTATGTGTCTCCAAGTTTGATTTCGCTGTCCCCAAGTCTGAATTCACGAATTCGTCACGCTTCGCGTATCCCCACCAGCCCATCTCAAAACAGCAACTCTAGCGAAGCATGCCGACAGTCGTGTTTTTCAGGCGTGTTTCCGCCTGCCCCCGCATATCTCCCCTGTTCCTCCTTCCTCCCGCCTCCTTGTACATCCTCCTTGTGGTGGGAGCGGGAGAAGGACGAGGCGGAGGAGGAGGGAGAGAAAGCGCTCCTCGTGGTTTGAGTCGTTTGGGGTTTCTCGTCCTGGTGTGAGTCGTTCGGGCCCTTCTTCCTGGTGTGAGTCGTTCGGGCTCTTCGTGGTGTGAGTCGTTCGGGCTCTTCGTCCTGGTGTGAGTCGTTCGGGCTTCTCGTGGTGTGAGTTGTTCGGGCCCCTCGTCCTGGTGTGAGTCGTTCGGGCCCCTCCTCCTGCCCGTCCAGAAACGACGCCCAGGCGAGTAGAGGGTCGTCCTGATGGGCTTTTCGGCGTTTTGGGTGCCTCGGGGGGGGGGCCTCTTTGGGCCGTTTGGGATCCTCTTGGGGGCCTCCTGGGGGCCGCTTGGGGCCATCTTGGGGCCTCTTGGTGCCTCCTGGGCGCTTCTTGGGGCCATCTTGGGGAGAATCGATCAAAGAAGAGGGGAGCTTTAATGAGCGCTGCCCCCTCAGAAGGGCAAGCCGAGCCCAAAACCTTCGTACAATCCATGATTTTGCCTTGAAAGAAGAGGGGAGCTTTAATGAGCGCTGCCCCCTCAGAAGGCCAAAATGGGGCCAAAACCGTAGTAAATTCAATCATTTTGGCTTCAAAGAAGGGGAGAGTGTTTTTTCTGCCCCCCCCCCGTCGGGGCCAGAATCCTCGTGAGGGGTGTCGTTTTTTAGCCCTCCCAGGAGTCGAACATGACCCCCCTGACGACCCGCGGAACGCCCTCCCCAGGCCCAGGGGGAGGGGGTAGGGGGAGGGGTAAACCCCTCCCCGAAGGGGAAGAAAGGGGGGTTGAGAACAGAGAGAGCTCCCTAAACCACTCACGCCCAAAGGGCTGGTGGGATTTATGCTGAGATTTGTTTTTGCGCAACACAGTAATGTACCGCGCACGTCATGCCATTTCGATACATTTGTAGATTTAGTTAGCTGTTTGTGTAATCGTTGAACCCGTTATTGCGTTAACTTGGATATCATAGGTGCTGCATGAGGGACCCGATCAGGGAACCGTCAGAGGAACAAAAAGGTGTTTGCAAGACCTCATTGGGCGGGAGATTTGGGAATGGGCATAACGGACCTCGCTATAGAACAAGAGTCCCGGATGATGGGGATGGTTATCATGATGGTCGCATGCCTCGTGTGGAATCATCGCGCATGAGGGTAAGATGTTTGTTGTTGTTGCTGTTGCTGTTGCTGTTGCTGTTGCTGCTGTTGTTGTCTTTGTGGTTGAGCTTGTGGTTGTGGTTGTGGTTGTGGTTGTGGTTGTTGTTGTTGTTGTTGTTGTTGTTGTTGAACTCTCATCTCTGAAGGATAATTATTGTTGATCCCCCCTCACCGGTGCATATTTTTTAAAACAGTCAAAGTGTGCCCCTCGACGCTCGCACCTTGTTTTTGACAGGGAAAGTCTTGGTGGTCAAACTGTGCCCTTGGCTCCCCGGGCTACAACAACAGGGGCTCCCGCCTGAGACTTCCTCCGAATTTGCTCAGACCCCCCCCCTCCCGTCTGAGACTTCCTCCCAATTTACTCAGGAACGGCGCTCCCGCTTGAGATTTCCTCAACTAATCGGGTCAAACTGCGTTGTTGCTCCCGCGGACGGACTACAACAACAACGGCTCCCGTCTGAGACTTCCTCCAACTGTACTCAGGACCCCGCTCCTGCCTTGTCTTCCTCCCAATTACTCAGGATCGGCGCTCCAGCCTGTGACTTCGTCGCAATTTAGTCGGGAGCCCCCCTCCCGTCTGAGGCTTCCTCACAATTTACTCAAGAACGGCGCTCCCGCTTAGGATTTCTTTGCGCTTTAGTCTAGACCCCCGCTTCCGCCAGACATCTCCTTTTCAGGAATTGTGCTCTCGCCTGTGACTTTTTCGCAGTCTATTCAGACATCGCGCTATCTACGCTCAGGCACCACGCTCGCGCCAAGGACGCCGTCACACTTCACTTAGGAATCGCGCTCTCGCCCTACTCGGGTATCCCGCTTGAATGTCCGCCCGCCCGTCGTGGGCTGCCGCCCGAGACTTCCTTATGGAATGGCGCTTTCGCTTAGGATTTCTTCGAACGTTCGCACTCTTAGCTTCCTGCTCCTCCCTCCTCCCGGGCCGCCTCCCCCTCCTTCCGATTCCCTCTCCCTCGCACGTCAGCTGATGTTGAACTTTCATCCTGAAGAATGATTTCTGTTGGTCCCCCCCCACTGGTGCGCATTGTTTTTTCTCAGTCAATGTGCGCCCCTCGACGCTCGCACCCTGTTTATTTGACAGAGAAAATCATCCGGGCCAAACTGTGCCCCTTGGCCCCCAGCTATAACAACAACGGCTCCCGCCTCAGACGGGGGTACGATCGAAGACGAAGAGGGCGGGTATCCAAGGTTCGGGATATGCATAGTGAATGACACGCGGACCGGTAGGAGCGAACAGTCTTGGAATGACTGTTGTTGTTGTTGTTGTTCTTCTTGTTGAACATTATTACTTCTAAAGAATAATTATTGTTGGGACCCCTGGTGCATGGCCCCCCCGCCGCGCCTAGGCCGCAGCCTCATTTTCATCATTTTCGTGAGGAAGTCTCAGGCAAAACGATGTCATCCAGATCCGGTTGTGTTGTTACGATCGGTTTTCCCTTGCAAAAAATAGGGCAAAGTGGACATTTCTTGTTCTAACATAACCAAACTTCAAGAATCCCTTGCAAAAAATAAGGTAAAGTGGACATTCGCGCGCGCAAGACGAAATCCTTCCAAAACCTTAGTGTTCGTAGCGATTTTAATATAAAAACATCAAAAAAACAATGTTTTTTTCCAAAAAAAAATGTCAATTTTTCATCCCGCGCGCTCTTGCGGATTTGTAGGAAACCCAACACTTTTTAAATATTTCTGTCAAACGGGCTTTTGCGAGCCACTTTTTCATGTGCTTCGAACTTCTCCAACAACGGTTGCGCACCTGTTAGGGCCATCATCCCTGTCAAATAATACCATGCGGGACACATTCGTTTTTTCTTCGCGCGCGCACGCCGTCGTCGTCGGCCGCGGGGCCCTGAATAGTAGCCACGGTCGTCCGCATGCCACGAAGTGAAGTGTCCGAACGTCATAGGGCGGGAAGCTGGGTGTGGGTGGTGGCGAAGAGTCGTTTGGAAATTTGGTAGAGCTTGAACCGGCCCCCCCACAAAGTGGGGGTATTGCCCGCCTCCTATGAAAACCCTGGCACTGGTGAGAACGGTGTGTCCCCACGTGCTAGTAATTGCTGTTGTTGTTGTTGATGTTGTTGTTGTTGTTGTGGGTGTTGCTGTTGCTGTTGCTGTTGTTGTTGTTGTTGTTGCTGCTGCTGCTGCTGCTGTTGTTGTTGTTGTACTTGTTGTTGTTGTTGTTGTTGCTGCTGCTGCTGCTGCGGTTGTTGTTGTTGTTGCTGTTGTTGTTGCTGCTGTTGTTGTTGTGGTTGTTGTTGGTGTTGTTGTTGGTGTTGTTGGTGTTATTGTTGTTGGTGTTGTCGTTGTTGTTGCTGTTGTTGTTGTTCGTGTTGTTGTTGGTGTTACTGTTGCTGTTGTTGCTGTTGCTGTTGTTGTTGTGGTTGTGGCAATTGCTGTTGCGGTTGTGGTTGTGATTGTTGCTGTTGCTGTTGCTGTTGCTGTTGCTGTTGTGGTTGTGGTTGTTGTTGTTGTTGCTGTTGTTGCTGTTGTTGTTGTTGCTATTGTTGATGTTGTTGCTGTTGCTGTTGCTGTTGCTGTTGCTGTTGCTGTTGCTGTTGCTGGTGTTGGTGTTGGTGTTGGTGTTGGTGTTGTTGTTCACGAGGACACTGCTGGGGGCCGGTTGCTCGACCCCCCCCAAGCAACGCCACGGGGCCACGCAGGGGCCATGCAGGGCCACTCCCCCGAGCAACGCCACGGGGCCTCGCGGAGCCCCTGCGGGGGCCCCGCAGGGCCGCTGTGGCGTTGCTCGGGGGGTCCCGTCGGGGCTGCTGCGAGGCTCCTGGGCGTTGCTCGGGAGGCCCTTGCGAGGCCGTATGGGATCTGTATCGGATCCCATACAGTGCGTACGGGATCTATATAGGGTCCCATACAGGCCGAAGTTTTTCGGCCAATTTCGCGCTTCGTGGCGCCACTGGGGACTCAGCCGAGGGCCTCGGGTCCAGTTCGGCACACCCTTCACACGTTTCGTGGCCCCAGTAGGTTTCACCGAAGGTTTCGGGCCAATGTCGGCACACCCCTCACGTTTCGTGACCCCAGTGGGCTTCACCGAAGGTTTCAGGGGACTTTCGGCACAACCCTCACACGCTTCCTGGCCCCACAAGGGGCCTCCACCGAAGGCCTCTGGTTCAGTTCGGCGCACTCCTCACACGTTTCGTGGCCCCAGTGGCCTTCACCGAAGAATTCGAGTCAATTTCGGCACGCTCCTCACACGATCCGTGGCCCCACAGGGGGCTCCACCGAAGGCTTCGGGTCCATGTCGGCACACCCCTCGCACGTTTCGTGGCCCCAGTGAGCTCCACCGAAGGTTTCGGGTCAAGTCCACAGGGGGCTCCACCGAATGCCTCGTTTCCAGTTCGGCACTCCCCTCCCGCTCTTCGTGGCCCCAGTGGGTTTCACTGAAGGTTTCGGTTTAATTTCGGCACTCCCCTCACACGAGTCGTGTCCCCAGTGGGCTCCACCGAAGGCGTCGGGCCCATTTCGGCACCTCTCGCACGCTTCGTGTCCCCAGTGGGCTCCACCTAAGGTTTTGGTTCAGTTTCGGCACACCCCTCACACGATCCGTGGTTACACAGGGGGCTCCACCGAATGCCTCGGGTCCACTTCGGCACACCGCTCACACGCTTCGTGGCCCCACAGGAGGCTCTGCCGAAGGCCTCGGGTCCAATTCGGCACACCCCTCATACGTTTCGTGGCCCCAGTAGGTTTTACCGGAGGTTTCGGGGCAATTTCGGCATACCCCTGAAACGTTTCGTGGCCCCAGTGAGTTTCACCGAAGGTTTCGGGCCAATGTCGGCACATCCCTCACACGCTTCGTGTCCCCAGTGGGATTCACTGAAGGTTTCGGGCGAATTTCGGCACACCCCTCACACGCTTCGTGGCCCCACAAAAGGGCTCCACCGAAGACCTCGGGTCCAGTTCGGTGCACCCCTCAGACGTTTCATGGCCTCAGTGGCCTTCACCGAAGGATTCGGGCCAATTTCGGCACGCCCCTCACACGCTTCGTGGCCCCACAGGGGGCTCCACCGAAGGCTTTGGGCCCATGCCGGCACACCCCTCACACGTTTCGTGGCCCCAGTGGGCTCCACCGAAGGTTCGGGTCAATTCCACAGGGGGCTTCTCCGGAGGCCTCGTTTCCAGTTCGGCACGCCCCTCACACGTTTCGTGGCCCCAGTGGGTTTCACCGGATGTTTCGGTTTAATTTCGGAACACCTCTGACACGCTTCGTGGCCCCAGTGGGCTCCACCGAAGGCTTCGGGCCCATTTCGGCACACCTCTCGCACGCTTCGTGTCCCCAGCGGGCTCCACCTAAGGTTTTGTCGTATCTGGTCTGTGCATGCTGTGCCAGGTCTGTGTAGGATCCCATACAGGTCGTGTCGTGCCGGTTTTGTAATACAAACCTATGAGAGGTGGATCCACCCGGTATAGATTTCTATTGGAGGTGGAGCCGCATGTAATACAAATCATATCAGAGGTGGAGCCGCATGTAGAGGGATTCCAACACGGTCCGTAGAGGGGTTCCTACAGGGTCCGTAGGGGTCCCATTGGAGTCCAACGAGACTCCAACAGGATTCCTATAGGTGCCGCAGGAATACTAGAGGATCCCTACAGGATTCCTACAGGGTCCTCCCAGAATCCCCATCGCATTCGTATAGGAACCCTTTCTAGGATTCGTATGGATCCTATAAGATTCCTACTGGATTCCTGCACTGTCCTACAGGATCGGTCCTACAGGATCCCCATCGGATTTGTATAGGAGTCCTTTAGGGTTCGTCGGGATCCTACAGGATTCCTACAGGATTCCTGCAATGCCCTATGGGAATCCGTAGCATTCGTATAAGAGTCCTTTCTAGGGTTCGTGCGGATTCTATAAGATTCTTACTGGATTCCTGCAGGGTCCTACAGGATCCCCGTCGGATTTGTGTAGGAGTCCTTTCGGGTTCGTCGGGATCCTACAGGGTTCCTACAAGATTCCTCTCGGGTCCTATAGGATTCCCGTAGCAACATCAGAGTCCTTTAGGGCTCGTGTTGATCCTATGCGATTCCTACTGGATTCCTACTGGGTCTTATGGGATTCCCATCGGATTCGTAAAAGAGCTATTTAGGGTTCGTAGGGATCCTACGGGATTCCTACCAGCTTCCTGGAGGGTCCTATAGGATGCCCGTAGCATTCCTAGCAGAGTCTTTTAGGGTTCGCATGGATCCTACAATAGTCCTTCTGGATTCCTACCGTGTCTTATGGGATTCCTATCGGAGGCGTAAAAAAGCGATTTAGGGTTCGTAGGGATCCTATCGGATTCTGATAGAGGAGGAGGAGCTCTCTTCGCCGGCGAGCGCACGGTTTTCGCACACAGGAATGCGTGGATAACAGTAAGGGAGCCAACGTAGATTCGGGTCTCTCTCGCTCTCTCTCTCTCTCTCTCTTTCTCTCTCTCTCTCTCTTTCTCGCTCTCTCTCTCTCTCGCTGTCTCTTTCGCTGAGCTGACTTGCAAACAGGATCGGGTCGAGCACCCCTGGCGCGGGGCAGGACTGGTGCCTCGCCCCCGGATGTTCTCTTGTGTACCTTACGGGCGCCGCGCCCGGCCCACCCGGACGCCGAGGACAACAACACAAACAGGCCCGCAGGTTTTTCCCGATGGTGGGCACCCGGGTCCCCGCCTTCGCTCTTTCCGCCCTGCTCGCCCTGCTCGCCCCCCCACCCCCCTGTTTATTTCGTCCTGTCCTGCTCCGTGTGTTCTGTGTTGTCCTAGTGTTCGCTGTCCTGCAGCCGCGTGGGCGGCGCAACAAAATTGGCCCGACTGCGCGGACCATCGCGCGTGAGCTGGCCGTGCAAGGTCGCGCGTAAGCGCCCTCGTTTCCAATGCAGCGTTCCGCGTTGGCGGCCCGCGCAAGCCACTGCAGGAGCGCGCTATGCCATCGCGCGTGGGATCCCCTCCACCGTCGTTCACATCTTGTTCTTCCTGTCCCTGCCCGGCCTCGCCGTTGGAGGAGGCCGTTCCCGCCACGCTGCTGTCCGTCTGCGGCGGTGGCCTGGCGGCGGGGCGCGCGGGGGGGCTCTTCTGCGTCTCCTCGCCGCGCTCTCTGTGCCCTCCCTCGCCATCCCGCACCCCTCTCGCCACCCCGCCGTGCATCAAAGGAGGAAAGACAAGGTACACCGATACCGCTGCCCCGGCTCCGTCGTCGCCTTGTGGGGCCTCCGGGGGGTGAGGCCCTCGTCGGCACGCCGGGATTCGCTGCAACATGCGCGTCCGAACGCCCCCCGAACGAGGTCTGGGGGCCCCTCTTTTTCGTGAGGAAGTGGCGGCCCCCGTGGTGGAGATTCCTCCTCAGGACAGGGCTTCCGCGCCCTCGTGCCGAAACGGGATAGTTCTGTTCCCCAAGCCAGCTTCCAATCTTTTGTGACCGAGGGTTCGCCTCGGCACTCACCCGCACCACTCAGTCTCGCGGCATGGTGCGCAAGCAGCCTTTCTCGTGGTGCAGCGGTTGTGGCAACTGGGCCTTCAATTTCCGTATCATTGCCAACGATGGAAGGTGTGCGAAGTGCAACAACGTCATCGGTTTGTTCCAGCCAAAGGGCGCCACCGACAAGAGCAACGGCAAGGGCCCGAAGCCTACTGGGACCAAACCGCCGTGGCAAGCGGACGAAGAGCTTGCGGACCTTGCTGCGCTGCTCCAAATGCTCTCCGCGGTCCCCGTTTTCGCAGGCTCGGTCGGTGCACATGTAGGAGCTCGAGAACAGGTACACGGCCAGTCTCATCAAGCAGCGCACTCTCCAGCAGGAGGCCAATTACACAGCTCATTAAAAAAAATATAAAAAAAAAAACCAAAAAAAAAAAAATATAAAAAAAAAATAAAGAAACTAGAAAAAAAAAAAAAAAAAATCAAAAAAAAAAAAAAAAAAAAACAAAAAAAAACATAAAAATCTAAATAAAAAAACAATAAAATACATAAAAAAAAAAAAAAATAAAAAAAAAAAAATTAAAAAATCAAAAAAAAAAAATACAAAAAAAAATAAAAAAAAAAAAAGATTCCACCAAACAATAAAAAAAAAAAAATCAAACAAACAATACAATAAAAAAAAAAAAAAAAAAATAAAAAAAAAAAAAAAAAAAAAAAAAAAAAAAAAATAAGTAAAAACAAAAATAATAAAACAACAAAAAAAAAAACTTAAAAAAAAAAAAATTTAAAAAAACACAAAAAAAAAACAAAAGAAAAAATAAAACAATAATCTAAAATAAAAAAAAAAAAAAAATAAACAAAAATAAAAAAAAAAAAAAAGAAAAAAAAAAAACAAAAAATAATCTTCAGAAGAAGGAAGCTGCCCTCCGTCGAGCAGCAGATGCCCAAGTCGCAGCCGAGGCCGCCCTGGCCAAGGCGAGCGACGATGTCTTGGTGGCCACCGAGGAGGCCCTCCAGGCTCGTTTGGCCAACGACAAAGCGATCGAGGCCTTCCCCCCGGTTTGTCGGCAAGCTGGGGCCCGCCTGAGGGGCACACAGCCAACGGCAAGAATATGTTGCTCGTTATCAACGAGACCGACTTCACCGACATTCTCGACGAGTTCGACGAAGTTCAGAAAACCACGCTCAAGGATCTCAAGGCCCAGATGGACAAGCACGCGCAGCAGGTGGCAGCCTTGCAGGAGACGCTTCAGGCCACGCTCAAGTCCGTCCAGGAGATTCGTACCAACCCTGCCAAGAGGCTCCGCGGCGACGGCGGCCAGGGGCGCGTCGGACCTGGCGCCGCCGAGGCCGTCAAGCAGGAGAAACCCCCTGCGGCTGCGGCACCCTCCGCCGCCGAGGCTGCCCAGGCCCGCGAGGCCGCCAAGGCGCAGGCAGCCGACGCCATCGCCAAAGCTAAGGAGAGAGTCGAGCAGAAGGCTGCCAATGCTGCTGCTGGCTGGCCTGATGTGGATGCTGCCACCCCTGGTGCAAGCGGCTCCCAGGCCAAAGGGGCAGGGCGGCGTGCGCCCAGCTCCTAGCCAGGACGGCCGCTTCTTCTTCGCCAACATCTCCGAGCGGGGCCCGCGCTCGGAGAGCTTCATGATTCATGATGGTCCAGGCTGAGCAGTGCGACGTGCTCGGTTTCGCAGAGACACACTTACGAGGCGAGAAGTTCGACAATATGATCGTCAACATGTCGATGGACGAATGGAAAGCGATAGCCACCCCTTCTGCACTCACGGGCCGCCCCCAGGCTGGTACCGCGGGCGGTGAGGCCAGCCTGTGCGCGAATACCCTCGCGACCACGTCCTTCGAAGGATGGTGACAGGCTGAACTTTCGCGCTCGGCCAAGGACCCTTTCGAGGCCTTTTTGCCCCACGACGTGGAACACCAAGGCTGGCAACATCATCGTCGTGGCCGCCTGCCTCCCGCCGGAGTTCGGGTTCCGCGGCCCGAATGAACGCATGTTGGTGCGGCTCGCAAGCTGCTTGCAGACCCCTTGATTGTCATGGGCGACTGGAACAGCAGGCCCTCCGACTGGGACAAGAACAATTGGCTCGTGAAGCTAGGCGGCACAATCGTCTTGCCTTCGAACGTCGAGACGACGTGCAACCTCGGCCAGAGCACCATGATCGATTATGGCACTGTCAGGTCCGATCTCGCCGGCTCGGTCAAGATTGAGGCTGTGGTGGAGGTGCCCTGGAAGACTCGCGTCGGCCTCGTTCTCTCGGTATGCGACGGCAAGAGCACCTGGTGGAACCGAGTCATTCAGGTTCCCCGCGACTTCCCGACCGTCCCCAGGCCGAAGATGCAGGCGGATCCAGACAGCAAGAGGCAGCTCTGGCCTCCCATCGCAAGCGGAAGGAGGCCCTGGACCAGCATCTCCAGGGCGCCTACGACGAGCTCCACCGCCCTGAACGACGAAGGCACGCTTGACGCTCCAGCGGCAAGCTTCTGCACCCCTCTTGACCTATGGCTCCGAGTCCGAGGCGTGAATTCAGAGTCGGCCACCAGTGCCGACGCGCCACCGACGACTACGTGTATCAGCTCTGCAGATGGCGCTCAGCAGCGCCAGGCAGAGCACCACCCTCTTCCTAGCTTTTTGCCCGGATATTTTTCGAAATCAAGTGGGAGAACCGCCGCCCTCGACGCCGTGGATCGCGATCCCATTGGCGACCCATAATTACACACCACCAGAGGGCGACGAGGACACTATCGAGCGGAGCGATAGGGGTAACTTTGTGCTGGGACCCCTAACCGCTCCGCTCCTTCGAGGACCAGCGCAGCCTCCGCGGCCCTCAGCTTCGACGGCCTCGTCGTCGCCGTTTGCGCCCTGTGCTGCGGGGGCGCGCTCGACAGACCTGGTAACTGCAGCCCCCCTGAGCCCACGGGTGGCTACAGGCTTCGATTCAGGGGGGCGGCTCAGGGGCCAGGTAGGGGGCCCCCGCCAGCTTGCGAGCGACCAGCTGATGACGCACTACTTGTTGGACAGGAACCCCGAGGCCAAGATGGAGATCGCCCGCGCCCGCCGCGACTGGGTAGACGCAGTCGGGAAGGCCAGGGTTCAGCACCATGGGCTATCCGCAGAGATTGGCACGCGTCATTGTGGTCGTGGGCTCGGATTCTCAATTGCCTGGAACCGTGCCAGCGCTACTCCTGCTCGTGCACGCATGCGCCACCCACTGCTGGAGTGGTGGCACCTTGCCACCACATTGCTCGTTCGCTACCAGATGATCCGACGCCGCAACGCCACCAGCGGAGCCACCGCGCTCAGCAGCAAGATGGCTGAGCTCCTGCACGTTGCCCTCGACCATGAGCTTCAGAAGCCTGTCCAGCAGGGCGACGACGGCTCGGACCTCAGCCAGCAGCGCGACGCCGACTTGCCAGGCGTCATCGTGATCGCCGAGCGTGTCCTCAGCAGGGCCACTGACAGGGCGCTCGCCGACGGTCGGCGCGCTTTCAGCAAATTGGCGTTGAAGATGTGGCGTGATTCCGCAGGTGCGCTGCGCAGACACGTCAAACCTCCACGGCCTGGTCGCGATGAGCACTACGACTGCTCAGGCCACACTTTCGCGAGTACTCCCAGCCAGATCGTGGGCAGGCGCGCAGCTGCCTGGCAGGACATTTGGACGGATGTACATGCCACGCAGTCAACCATCCTCGAAGGGGCCATGGGCGGCATCGGCGCGCTGCGCCAGAAGCCGACGCGCCTCGCCGGTTGGCTTCCGGGGCTGACCGCCGACCCGCAGCTCCGCGGCGGGGGGCGACAGTTCGACGCGAACGGCGCGCGCCTTGGGCCGCTGCCGCCGCCGCCCGCGGGGATCAAATCGTTGGGGCGCAGGCGGGGCGACGCCGCGATCAAATCCGCGGGCGCCGCGGCCTGGCGCCCCGCGGGTGCGCGCGAAGGGCAGGTCGTCGGCCGCGAGGCCGCGCGGCGCGCTGCCCGCCGGGGGGCGGGGGGCTCTTGCAGGGCCGCTCGCCGGGCCCGTTCGGGGAGCAGGGCGAGGGCGACGGGGGCGCGGAAGAGGGCCCGCCCCTGCGGAGAGCGGCCAGCTCGGCAAGGGCGACATCTACATGGGGGGGGGGGACGGCGAGATCCCGGCGAGCAAATGGGGCGACTCCTGCCCCGTCCAGCGCCGCGGCGCCACGGCCGGCATGACGCACTTCGCGACTGGGCCCCCGACGAGGCCGGACTGGCCTGAGGTGTTTTCGGTGCTCGACGGCTCTGCCTTCAGGTGCCGCTGCCCGCCGCGACTTGCGCTCGCATTTCCGCGCGGGCGCCGCCGTCGCAGCGTCGCGGGCGGAGACGAAGCGCGCGGCCGCGCGATCCCTCCGCCGACGCGGAGGCGCGGGGCCGCCGCGCGGCTGCGAGTGCATCGGCGGCCCGAGAGGTTATCGCCTAATTGCAGGGGCCCAAACAGTCGGAAGCTCCCGGGACTCCCGAATTGGATCGAGCTGAGGTCAGAGCTCTTCGGGGGGGTCGCAGAAGCCGCGGGCGGCCCGGGCGGCGCAGCGCGCGCCCTCTTCGAGTTGTCGGCGCATAGGCACCCGGCCGACGCCGACCTGGGCAAGCCGCCCGACCTTGCGAGGAAAGGCGTCTACGAGGCGGCCAGAAGCTAGAAGGGTCTTCCAAGGCTGGCTGGGAGCAAAGGGGCGGGCAGGCCGCGGCGACGATTGGGGCGGCGTCGCAGGGGGGCGCCCCGTCCGCCTTCGCCAGCCGGCGGCCCTCCCGCGCGAAGCGGGGGGGCCATGCGCAGAGCCGATGGGGGGGATGGGGGCGGGGGCTGCGGCGGGCTTCCTGCCCGAGACAGGCAGGAAGAGCTCTTCGACTTGCTCGCGAAGCGGGGCCTCGACCCGGGGGCGGCCGGCTGGGCCGGCCCAGCGGCGGCCGACATCGGCAGCGTGGAAGACGGCGGCGACTGGCTCCGAAAACGCTTCGCAGACGAGGGGGGGGCGGGCAGGGTGGCCGCGTAGTTCAGGGGGCAGCTGCGCGACCAGTTCCAGACAACTACGCCGTCGAAGCGCTGGCGGCCCTGGAGAGAGCGAGCGGCCAGAGACTCGCGCGCGATGGCGCGCGCGAGGTCGCAGTGAAACCATCGGGCCCGACGCAGGAACCGACGGGGGATGGCGGGGGCCGCGGGGGAGACGTAGTTGCCGAGCTATTATGAGGGCCAGCGCGGATTTATCTCCTAGCGGCGGCGCGCGTCGACTCGTCAAGATCCGCGAGAACGGGCGGGCCGTGCTTGGCCTGCGAGTTCGGCGGCGAGATCTACCGCGGCACCGTCGGATGCCCGGCGCCCCAGGGGTGCGGGCCAGGGCATTCGGGGCCAGACTGCCGTCGACCCTCTGCATGCTGGGGGGCGATTGGTCCGCGCAGTTCGCCAATGCCGACGGCCTGGGGGCGATCGGAACGGGGCGGCGCGGGACATTGGCAACGCTCTTCGTCGTCGTCCTGCTCGGCGACTTCGGCTTCCCGGCGCGTGGGGCCAAGGCGCAGTCGGCCTCGAGGCGTGGTCGATCGGCGCCCGCTGCAACTGCGCCATCCGCAGCTGCGCTTCGCTGCGATGGCGCATGTCTGGGAGAGGCCGCCCCGGGGGCCGGCGCGCGCCTGGTTCGCCGGCGTCGCGGGGGCGGGCAAGATGGAGGCCTCCTTGCCGCGGGTTGCCGTTGCCGAGAGCGCCGGGCGCATCCGCTCGGGCGCGAGGGCGGAGGGGGGGGCGATGCAAGATGGGCGGCTGGGAAGCGCCGCCGACGGCAGTGCTCGAGGAGCTCGCGGGCTCGCGCTGGAAGTGAAGAAGGAATTGCCCCCCTGGGCGCGGGCCAAGGCAGACCCCCCTCCATGGCGCGTTCTCCCGCGCGACGCTGTTCTCGAAGCCCGGGGGGCTCCGTCGCGGGTTGAACCTCGGGATGGCGGGGTCGACGGACAACCTGGGGGAGGCCTGCGCAGTGGCCAGGGCCGCGTCGAATGGCCGTTGATGGTCCTCCCAGGAGCCCTCCCCGTGGAGCTGTCGGAGGGGCTGAGGTCGCGCGAGACGGCGCCGGGCATGGGCCGGTCGCCGCGCGAGGCAGCGCGGCGACGGACTGCGACGAGCCCCTCGGGACCCGCGCGGCGGCCGCGGATCCGAGGTGGCGCGCGCTCAATCGAGGTCCGCGATCTTGACGCCCCTCTCCCCCGCGTCCGCCCGCCCCCGCGCGCGTGCGCGTCGCGGCGGGGCTGGCGGCTCACCCCGCGGCCGCGCCCCCCCCGCCCCTTCGCCGCCCGCCTGTCCGCCTGCCTGCCCGCGCGCGCGCTCGCCCGCCTGCCCCCTCTTCCCTTCTCCTGGGCCCGGAGGCCGCGGGCTGTCAGAGCGCGCTGGACTGGGGCGCGCCAGTGCTCCTGCATATCTGCGCGATGGTTGTAGGCCGCTGGCGCGCGGGTCTGCACCTTTGGCAAGAGCGCTGTCCTCTCCGCCCCCCTCGCCCCGCTCTCTTCCTCCTCGTTCTCCTGCGTTGCGTCTCCACCTCGATCGCTGAATGAATCCTCTGGCTTGCGGCCGTCGCGGGGTGGGGGAATTCGTTGCTTTCCGCCCTGCGGCTCCGTCGCCTGGCCCGCTGCCCCCCCCCCCCCCCCCGCGTT